TATTTATTTATTTATTTATTTTTTTTTTACAGTGTCCTGTCTGGCAAGGTGGCAATAAGAATAATTGTCTTGATGCCAAAAGGAGCCCAACAGATTTTACTTTCACAAGTGTAGCGGTATCGCAATTGCCATACCGCTCCACTTGTTTCATGTATATAAATTGCTTTATTATAATTATGCAGGGAGTTTTACAGTTCATATGGACACTGCAATGTAAGTAGAGCAGAAAAACAGAAGAAGAAGAAGGAAAAAGAAAAAGAAAAAAACAGGACAAAAGATGAAAGAAAGAGGAGATAGGAAGGAGACAATGACAAAACATTTTCAGTCTGCTTCAACACCTGTAATGAGATGGAGAAAAAAAAAAAGAAAAAAAGAAAAAAGAACAGCACAACCAAAAAACATGGTACGAGATATACAATAAAGCAAACACCTTGAAACTATCACTAAAGTAATATTATTAAGTCTGACATGTACTCTGTGTTACCTGAAGATATGAATGTGGGGTTTCTGTTTGGAAGTGAATCTCTAAGTACCTGAAGCCTAGCACCTGTAGTTGTTTGTGAGGGTGAACTTGTGCATGTAAAGTTTTAACCATAGAAAAAAATGCTCAATATTGGTTGTGGAGAGCCGGAGAGGCACACCCCCCAGAGCACTGAGTCCAGCGCCGGGAGACCCAAAGCCCCAGGCGCCCAAGGGGACCCCAGAAGCGAAGGCACCAAGGCGGGGCCAGCCCCGGAAATCAGACCCCACCAAGGCAGGAGGAGAGACAGCCACGAGGAAGCCCCCCAGCCACCGCCATGCCGGCGCCCCGGGGAGCCGCGGGGACGAGTCCGCGGGCCCCGCCGGCAGCCGGCCACCCCGAAGTAGGGCCGGGCGCCGAACACCAGCCCCCCCACGGCGCCGACCGAAACGCCCCAGCCCCACAGAGCACCGAAACACGCCCCGCCCCCCCGCACCAAGCCCCGGCGACCGGCCGCAACACCCACCGCGACCGCACCACCCAGGAAAACACTAAGACGGCCCCGCCCCCGGCCGGGGCCCATGCGCATCCGCCGCGAACCGGCCACGAGCGCCGCGGGACCCCCCCCAAAACGCCCCCCCCGGCCATAAGCGCAGCCCCACCCCACCAAGACCGATGCCAACAGCGCGCTACGAAACACACCGCGCACAGAATCAGCCCGAGAGCAGAAAAGCCGCCCGGCGCAAAACCGCAAGAGGAGCAGACCGCAGCCGGCGCAACCACCCCCCCCAGCAGCCCGAGGGGCAGCACAAAGCCAGAGCGGAGCGAACCGCGCCGCCCCCCCCACCGGACGATGCCAAAGCAGCCCAGCCACGTCCGCCACCCCCCCCGCAGCCCGCACCAGGCCCCGACACGCGGCCAGAGCAGCTCCGCCGCCCCGGCCCCCCACCACGCGCCGGTCATAGCCACCCCAGGCCCACACCCGCCCCGCAGCCCCACCCGCCGCGATCAGTGGGAACAGAGCAGCCCCGCCATGCCTCCAGGAGGGAAAACCCACCCGAATACCCAGCCAGCGCAGCCAGCCCGCCCAGACCGGCCCCCCAACACTACCCCCGCCGGAGCCGCCCGGACCCCCACACACCAGCGGCGCGCCGCCAGCAGGACCCCCACCCAGCAGGCCCGCCTGCCCCCCGCGAAAACAGACATGCCAAACCCCCCAAAGAAAAAAAGAGAAGAAAAAAAAAAAAAAAAAAAAAGGGGCCCCCACAATGCGACAGCGGACACCAGACACCGACCCGCCCGCAACCGCTCCCCCCCACCGAGGAAGAGAAAAAAAAAAAAAAAAAATAAATAAATAAATAAATAGGTAAATAAATAAATTAATTAATAATTACAATTAAAATAAATAGGCAAGAGGAGAAGTGCGAGCGGAAAAACCGGAGCCCAAAACAGGACCCAAGACCCGCACCCCACCATGCCGCGCAGCTCCCCCCCTCCCCGAACCGATACCACAGAACCGGCATAGGAAAGAAACACCGCCCAGGAACCGGCATCGTAGCGAAGGCACCGGCACCGACCCCGAAAATCCCCGAACAACACCCAGCCCCACCCCGAAGCGGATCCAGTCCCAGGCCCCAGGGATCCGAGGCCCCAAGGGCACCCCACCCCCAGACAGGAGCCCCAGCAAAGCCCCGGCCGGCCGGGGCCAGTGGAGAGGCCGCCAGGAATGGGCCAGCAGTCCCCCGGGCATCCACCCCCAGCTCCACCAGTGCACCGGTGAGCCCCGACGCCAGCCAGCGGAGGGAGAGCAGGACGGGGGGGAATGGGCTCCGCACTTAGCGGAGACTTGAGATGTATTTGGGAGAGGGTGCGGTTGAGACCCCAACCTGGGAAAGAAAAAAAAAAAAAAAAAAAAAAAAAAAAAAAAAAAAACACACCAACACAAACATGCCTTCCCACCCAAATGCCCCCACACGTACCACAGGAAAAAAAAAAAAAAAAAAAAAAAAAAAAAAAAAAAAATTGAATAAAATAATAATAATAATAAATAAAGAAAATAACAACGCAGACACACATTCACACATAACACTCACATCCAATAATACCAGGACCAAAAACCCGGTGACACCGGTGGTCGGTCCCGGGACTATCGGATGACCCCATAAGTGAACCTAAAATCCGGATGTGAGGGGAGGGGAGCGGCGACACCGCCACACCAACCCATCTCTTTCCTGCTTCAAGCCCGGCCCCCCACCCCGCACACGGACCGGACCACCCCCCGCAAGAGCCCCCCCCGGGACCGGGGCCCACCCATCCCGCGCCGGCCACCCAACCAGAAACCGCCCCCCCCCCCCGAAAAAAAAAAAAAAAAAAAAAAAAAAAAAAAAAAAAACCTTCAACCAGGCACTTCATGCCCCTCCATCCAACCTTCTTTGGGGAGAGCAGAGGTGACAGCCCCGCCACCAGCAGGCCACCTAGGCCCCGCAGCCAGCCCCAGCCAAAACCACGGACCAGGTGGCCCGCTCTTCCTCCAGGCCCCAGACTCCAGGCGGCAGCCGGAGAACAGGGGTGTGAGAAGACCCCGATCCTCACTGCGCCCGCTCGAATGTGGTGTTGTTGCGTGTTGCTCTCAGATGCAATTAAAACTGGGAGTACCAAGAGGGGGTGTCCGGCACACTCCACCCCCCCTCCAGGAGATAGACGGTGCCAGCACACCCTCCCCCTTCGACAACCCTCAACCCTCAATGTCTAGATGCGAGATGGGATGGAGGAGGCCGACCGTGGTGAGGCCCATAAAATAAGCCCCCCCCCGGTGGCCCAGACCCCCACCCCCCGAAAATTACATAGATGTGTGTTGTGAAAATGATGTAGATGGAAGTGTCTAAAATGCAAAATAAAATTGGGGTGGGGGACGTCATCAGAAGGTGTGGCCCTCCAGTAACGACCCCCTCCCCAAAAACCTACATGTGTGGCCGAGTGATGGAGCAGGCAGAGGGAGGATTTCGGGGATGGGGAGCAAAGGACTGGGGTGCCTGCTGCACTCCCAGGGAGCCAGCTCCCCCGCTGACTCCAATAGGCACCCCCGTTCCCCGAGAGCCCCCCCAGAGAAGGGGGCCCCACCAGTTTCACCACCATAGCTCGGGGGCACGGGACCGGCAGCAGGACCCACCAGCCAGCCGGGCACGGAGCCGACTCCACCACCCCCCCCCCGTCCTGTCCATCCAAAAAAATAATAATAATAAAAAAAATAAATAAATAAATAAGTAGATAAATAAATAAAATTAAAATAAATACATAAATAAATAAATTAAATAACAAAAAATAATAATAATAAAAAAAAATTATAAATAAATAAATAAATAAATAAATAAAAAAATATAAAAGGAAGATAAGAAAAAAAAAAAAAAAAAAAAAAAAAAATTATAATAATAATAAATAAATAAATGAATAAGGGAAGGGACAATCCCAGCCGGCCAGCCAACGCGCAACACGCAGAGCCCCCACCCCGGACGAAGCCCCACCAGGGGGCAGCACGGACCAGGACCAAGACAGGGAGCCAGACCCAAAGCCCTTCAAAGATCTTCTTCCCTCTATCACCACCCCCCCCCCCCCCCTCCGGAGATGTAATCCCTCCCCTACAATAACAATCAAGCTACTCACCACACAAGCGACAGAAGACATCCAGGGAGATCATACCTACTCCCCCTCCCTCCCCTTCCCCCACTTACAGAGTGCAAACCCGTGAGGGGGTAAGCACTTGCCATAGGTGTTAATGTCCATGCCCCCCCCAGCCCAGCAGGCCCCGAGGCACCCCGGCACACCAGAGGCCGTGGCAGCAGGGACAGACAGCCAGGCGTACACCGGCCCAGAACCCAAGCAGCACTCCCCACAGAACCCGAACCCCCGAACCCCCACCGGGGACCCCGCCCAAGGGCAATGCGCCCCAGGGATCCCAGGCCCAAGGAGCCACCCCAGACCCACCCCGCAGTAGGGCCGGGCAATGCCCAAAAACCCCCGGCACCGGCGCCAGCACCCCCACCCCGACCCCGGCCCCCGAACGACTCCCCCCAACACCGGTCCCACAGCACCAATCCGAAGAAGAAGAAAGCCACACAACACAGCTAAGCGCAAATCCCGAGCCCCACTCCAAGCCCCGATCCCCCCGCCCACACACCCCCTCCTACACAAAAAACAAACAAAAACAAAAACAAAAAAATTATAATATTCTCCCCCTCACCGGAGAAGAACGGCCGCAAACAAGCCAGTGCCCAACACCCACCGCCACACCACGAGGACCCCTCCACCCAGATGCTCCTCCCCAGAAAAGTCAACATGCCTGCCCTCCCAGGAGACAGGCAAGCCCGCCGAACAGGAATCCCCCCCGGCAGCGCACCGCCGGCATGCGGGGGCCCGAGCAGCCCCAACAGAAACAACACCGGAAGGCCGACAAGGACGAACCGACGGCACCAACCAAGCCCCCAGGCGGACTCCCCCACCCAAAAACACAACGAAACCACCCCGCCCCCACCGACCACAGCAAACACAGCCGCAAGGCAAAGCAAAGGACAGAGCAGCCCCACCCGGCGCACGCCAGAGAGCCAGAGCAGCAAGGCCGCCCCAGCCGCCAGAAGCCGGCACAAGCAGCAAAAAGAAAGCAGCAGACGCGACCCCACCACCCCCGCCGCGCCCGGCGCGAAAGCAGCACGACCCACCCCGCTCCGGCCCCGCACCGCCCACAGGCCGCCGAGAGGAGGACGGCCACGCCGGCCACGGCCCGTCCCCCCCCCGCCGCCCAACACCGAGCAACCCTCCACTCCCAAGCCGCGCACGATGCACCGCACCACGCGCCACCGGCACCCGCCCCAACAGAGCGAAGCCACACCCCGACCCGGGGGCACTCCAAAGGGACCCCCGACGCCCGCAACCCGCCCACAACAGACACACACGAACCCCGGCCACAGGCGCGACCACCCACGCCCCCCCCGGACGACGCAACCACGGCAAGCACCACGGCCAACCACCGAAACCCGGCACCGGAAGACGAGGCACGCCCCGACGCCCCGCAGAGCAGAAGCACCCCGGCCAGCACCACAAAAGAACCGATGCCCGGCGCCCAGCCCCACCCAGCAGCAGCACAGCCACCAGGCCAGTAGCCCACGTCCGCCACCACGGAACCCCCCAAGAGCACCGCACGCGGCCGCCGCAGGACCCCCCCGCGGCGCCCCAGACCCCGCCCCGACGGGGGCAACAGTCCCCCGGGCCAGACCCGCCAGGCACCCCGCTCCGAGCACCCCCCCGAGCCCCCAGGACCCAAGGACCCCCGAACTAGCCCCCGCGCCCCACAAGACGCACCCCATAGCCCCCCACTACACTAAGTGATGGAGCCGATCAAGGGAGCCCAGAGAGATCGGTCTGATGGGGATGCAGATGCTGTCTCAAGATTAATATGATCCAACAACAGATCTCTGTACTGATTGATGTTGAGTTTATCCTTACTCTTCCAATTCATGAGGATAGTTTTCTTTGCGATACATAATGCAGTGAATGCCAAGCAAACCGATTTTTTTTCCCATAGAGCTTCCCTCAAAGTCACCCAGCAAGCAAACTGAAGGGGAAATTAGGATTTTACAACCCAGGCACAGTGATAGATCCTTACATACCTGTACCCAGAATCTCTGAACCGGCGTGCATAACCATAGCGCGTGAAAATAATTATCAGGTCGATTGCCTGTGCACTGTGGACAGATGTTAGATTGCGCAAAACCCATCTTGAATAATCTTTGACCTGTATAGTGCACTCTGTGGAGGATTTTGTATTGTATTAATTGTAAATTGGGGTTTCTGGTCATGTTAAAAGTTCTTAGACATATCTGAGCCCAGATGTTTTGTTCAAAGCTGACTGATAAATCCTCCTCCCATTTAGTAATAATAGCAGTTTATAAGATTTTGAAATACCTGTCACACAAACAGCTATTTTCTAAAGTTGTTGTTTTAGGTCGCTTTCGTTACCTTTGATCTTTGTTCTTTCTCAGAAAAGCTTGTGGATTTGTTCTCCAGGTATAACTGGATCTATGCTACATCATGTCCCCTTGGTTTAAAACTTTATAAATACCTGTTTAAAATATGAACCCTTAATGTTATGAATGATTAGTCAAAACAGAGTAAGCAAATGAAGAACCAGGCTGAAAGTCACAGCAGTTTGTCTTCACACATTTGGTTTTCTCTCTAAGTGTGACAGATTGGTTGAACAGGGAAACCTTGCAAACCTTCCACACACTCAAGCACACACAGTCACATGACTCAATTTCTTTTTTTTTTGCATTCTATATCCCACTTTCTACTATGCTGCCTTGTCCATCCATCTGATTGACAGGTTATGAGCCAACCCCTGCATAAATGACTCTGACACACCAGTAATATAAACCATCTGGGTTCAATCAATCTCAGTTAAAGAATTTTCCATTGGAAGTGGGCTCACTAATATGGAGACGGCATAGAGGGCAGTTCGACTGTAATACCATCGGGTATCTCCTGGATTGAGATTGTATAGGAGAGAGGGAAGTTATGGACAATTTACATGTGAAGACAATGTCAACTAAAAAGTATAGGTTTCTTTGTTGTTTTATTTCTGCCGTCATAATAACAAACAAATTATTACAAAGAAGAAAGAAAATATCACACATTAGTAAAATATGAGAACAAAGTGATAACAGCACCCTCACCTTTGTTAATAGTGGTGAAGAAACTGCATAGATTCAGCAGAGTAACGTGACACTAAGACAGTCCTACGGGTTTTGTTACGGCAAACACTGTGAGGATAAACACTGAGAAAAATTCCTTCAGACTGTACTGACATTTGTTCCTATTCTGAGTGCTCACTCCCTTTGTTTCAGGTCTGCTGCCTTGGGGAAAGTAAATTTAAACTCAGATCCTTAGTGGTGAACAAGTGAACTTTCATTACTGCAGATTCTGTTGACCAACAAATAACTTCACATAAGAGACAGAATGATTGATATTCTTCATCATCTCCGCCTCCCCCCTTCAACCCCCTTAATTCAATTCCACATAACGACGAAGGTGTGTCACCCATACAAAACAACTCACCAATGTAACAATATTATTGATCCACCAACACCACACATTCTTAGGAATTTTTCCTGAATAATCAAAAAATGTACACCTTCATTTTTGACATTTTTTTTTCAAACCTAGGGAGTCATTTTAAAAGAATATCTTTCTTTATGACAGTTTGCACAGTGCGATGATAATCTACTACTTCAAAGCTAGATCATTCAAGTACAAACACACCCCCTATAAACAATATGTCAAATATGCTTTATTTAAAGCATATTTACATAATTTGTGTTTTTAGTCAGCTTATTAGATATACATCAAAACATTAGCTGGTGAATGGTTTATATAACTGTTTGCTTAGAAGTCAGATTTTAGCCTGACGAGCACTGATGATCTGTAAAGATTGATGCACAAATGTAAAGTTATGAAAACCTCTGCTCCTCCCAATTAAAATGAGCAGATTGCATGTGCTACAAGCAGGTTGAGAGTGACTGTAAAAGAGAGATTAAATTCAAAGCCAAGAAGCTACTGTAGACGCTTATTAATAGAATAACAATGATAATACTAAATATGATAAATATGATTTCTAGTACATTTCTCATTAATAGCCTATTTTAAAGTGCTATAAACAAAGTGAACTAAAGTAAGTAAATATATAAAAAAAGAAATTATCAGTAAATATTACGAAGTTGTCTTTGTCTGCTAATTGAAAACATCCCCCTACAGCTAAAATGTTCAGCTAACAGCTAAAACTTACTGATGCTGATTTAGATCTGTTGTAAAATGGTTCTCATTGGTGCCTGCGATAGCAATGCAAGGAGAATAGAATGCCGTTGCTAAGAAATATCTTGTCTTACCTAGAACCGCTGAGTAGCAGAGTTCTGCCAGAGGAAGAAAGTTACCAAAGTGACCCATTCAAAATACAGACAGATCTTTGGCTGATACTTTTGGTAATTATAAAAAAAAACACTTTATGAAAAGTATGTACTCATTATTATTATAGTTCTGCTGTTAGCCATGTGATATGGGTATATTTTTAATATACAACCAGTTTCAAACATTAATAAATTGACTCATACGTAACTTTTAAAGATGTTAAAGTTATGTTTGAAGACTATAAGAGCAACTTAAATATCCTTTTCTACTGCCATGCTCTGCTAATGTCTACAGCAATGTTAGTGTGAGGAGCTAACTTTCCTCAAACAATTTAAGCTCTGTGCATGGCCGTTGCTCTTTAAAATGCAGACATCTAAAGTCTCCCGGAAGTTCCAGGAGTCTCCCTGACACTGATAGTTCTTCACGGATGCCTGCGAGTCGGATAAATTATCCCAGATTTTAGACTGTGCAAGGTGGTGTTTTTTTAATGCGAGTGAGAGCATGCAGGCAATACAATAATTTGTGCATCATGTGTGGATTAGAACTACTGCGATTACGAAGGAATAACAAAGGAGTGCGTGGTGTGGTGAGGAGGTTGCTTGTGAAACCTGTGAATCCTGTGAAATAGGTTGAACCCTCAGGGTGTCGATGAGCATCTCCCGGAAATTAGTTTTTGCAACTTGGGATGTCTGGAAATGTTGCCCGTTGTAGTCAGTGGAATTGTCAGAACTTGCTTATCTAGATGGCTCTAGTTTCAACACGAAAAGGCTACATGTCCATGACTCTCGTTCTCATCATTTTACTCTCTCAATGAGTTACTTTGCGTCAAAAGTGACAAAGCTCTGCAGAGCTGTTGAATTCTTTCCATTATTTTCTTCAGTTGGAGGTCCCTATAGTGTCATGGTTTAAAAAGAAATGCTACAGATACAGATTGTATCTTGTACTATTTTAGAAAATGCACTGTTGAATCTGAGACCAAGCTATTATCGATAGATCATTTGAGTCCTTGAAGCTGTAATATAAGGCCTCCATTAATTAGAGTAGTTTATCTACTACATCCCATGAATATGTGATTTGACCGGGATTTAATAGAAATTCATCTAGTCAACTGAAATGCTTGGATAGATGTTATGAGTTAAAGTAATGTTCAAATCATTGGCAAGAAACAAAGTAGTTCAATTAGACATTTCCCACACCGTCATACCCCCTCTGCCAGATTATCTTTGTTTTATACTAACAACACCTTCATGGCCATCCACACAATGTAAAAGGAAGCTTGATAAAGTACAGACACCTTCTTTTATTGGTTCATTATCTAGTTCTAATGCCCGTGTGCTCATTGTTGGAGTTCATGGTGTCATGGACACTTTGACTGGTCTGCGGCTATGGAAACTCATAGGCAAATAATCGTAATGCACTGTGTACTCTGACACCTTTTAATCAGAACAATAAGCTATTAATAAGCTATTTTCTGTTGGAAATAACCACATAGGCATAGTTGCCTATGTCCATGATCAGTCTTTCTGCTGCTATATATCCTAACCACAAAGGAACACCCATCAAGCAAAGAAGGTCTAAAAAGGACAGCACCAACTGAGTTGTCTAGCCATTGGTATTTTTTGTTTTCCCTTTTAATATAATATTATTTTCAGACAAAATGTTTGCTATAAATCATAATTCTGAAATGCAACTCTTACAGGGATATGGTTTGAAGAGGACTCCCCAAGATGGGGTGTGATTAAAGAGTCCATTATAACCCAAACATGCCCCCCCCTACACACACACACACACACACACACAAACACCTACACATAGCCAAGCCATACATCTACACGCACACACACAATGATATGCGCACATGAGCACCTCAGCCTTCATTTCCCTGTCCTTTTCCTGAGGTTACTACCAGTCAGCATCCTTTTCTATTCCAAGTCATCATATTTCAAGCCACAGCGGTATAATCGGCCGCGATCAGGAAGCCCCCCGGACTCTGAATGAAGCACTTTTATGCAGAGAAGCCCTGCAGCTATGTTCTCATCATTCTGTTTTCAAGGTGGAAGGAGGAGGAGGAGAGGAAATGGGAGGGTTGGGGGTTGAGCCACTCACAAATAGCACAACAGTGTTATTGGCTGCATGCAAAACCCACTAGTCTGTGTGTACTTGAGTTTGGCTTCCGATTTAACACATCAAAGACACGGTAAGTTGCTACATAACTCAGTTCAGACAAATTCTGGCATGACTGCAGAAAAAAAAAATCTCTTTTTAATTTAGCAAAAGAGCTCATGAATGTAATAAAACAAGATTGTTTGAAATGTTCCAAAGCATGAAAGTGATTCTTCTATTTTGGCCTTTGTAAGATGACCATCTAATTTTGTTGGGTGCACAGCAGACATTACAGTTCCCACAATGCTTTGTTCAAACAGCTTAGCTCAGCAACCCCCCCAAAAAACTCATAGTGGAGGCTCACAATATACACCAAGGAATACAACATCTGGCTTATTTTGGGGTTCTTTAGCTTTCATATCGCATGCATTAACACAGACACCCGCCCAACAACTTGGTGTTTT